GAATGGCTCATCAAGGCTTCTGTCATCTCGCTTTTCAGCCCCCTGCCTGGAATGCACCAGCCACGGACCCATCAGAGACCCAGCAGCCAACCCCATCTGCAGAGAGCAGTGGTCTGGCACGTGAGTTTAGCCCGGATTCCAACTATGTGCCTTGGTCCTGGCAAAGGACTTGGGGCTAGGAATGGGACACCTGGCCAAGGTGATGGAAGTGAGGGGTCTCCTACCATCCCTGGGTGGGCTGGGATTCACCTAAGTCCCTCGGAGGAGGTGGTGGGCATTCTTTCTCTACTTTGGTGGCCTCAGAAAGCTGAGGAAAGTCGGTGCCCCTGCTTTTACCCCATCACTTCCCTTAAGGGGAGGTCATAGGAAGTTTTGAGTCTTCCACCTGATTCCCATCATTGCATCCACAGAGCCGGAGCACGGCCCCAACACGGAGCTGCTTGGCACCTCACCCAAAGCTTCTCTGGGTCAGTATGCCAGGTGGCAGGTGTGGGGTGCCTGGGAGAGGGTCGGCCTCGGGGGTTCTTTTCAGATCTGCTGCTGCCTGGTCATGTGGACTGAGGTCCCAGGAGACTGAGCATCTGATCTCTCTGGAGTGGGTCTTGGGATTGAAGTTGTGGCTGCAACATCAACCACAAGGACTTGAGAGCAGGCCCTTGGTGGCTGGTGTCCCAGGCCTGGGGTTTGCCTCTGGGGGTGGGGCTGGGGCTGGCCAGCGTGAGGCTGGACACCTAACCCTGGGGGCCGAGGCAGGATTGGCCTGTCTGGTGCATTTCATGAGAAAGGGGACAACTCTGAGCTGCTAATGGCTGGAGGCAACATTGTCCTTTCTCGGCCAGTTCCTGGCCTTTCGGCTCTTTTCCACTCTTTTCTTGATGTCCTTCAGACTTAGTTCAGGGTGAACAGTCCATTTGCTGCCCTGGTTTGTTTTGTCGACCTTTGGGGATTGGGGCAGGAAGCCAGCAGAATGACCGTCAGTCTGACCCCATGGGAAGGCTGGCATGGCCTGGTCCGGAGTGAGGCTCTGTAGAGGCCTCTGGGCTTGGGAGCTATATGGAGGCTCTGAGGTGGGACCCCCTGTTAGCCACAAGTCTGTTTTTCTCCAGAGTCCATGTATCTGTCACCTAAAGGGACTCTTCCTGCCAGAGGTAACCAGCAGCTGCTTGCACGCCTGCTCCCTCTGCTCTAGGAGCCGAGGCTGGTGTTTGGTGCTGCCCCTGCCTGGCGGTCTTTGTGTTGGGTCAGGGACTTTGTCTCTGGTGCTTCAGGTCTAGGTTCTTAGGTCCATCGGCTGGGAATCAGTAACCTCTAACCTCGTCTGTCTTGGCTTGGACGTCCTGACACCGTTGGTTGGAGCTGGTGGTGGCAGCTTTGCCTTCCCCTGCCTGAAGCTGTTCTTTGTAGAAGCTCTTGCCAGGAAGCTGCATGATGTGGACTGAGCTGCTGCCTCTGACCTCCCTTTGTCTCTGCTCACGCCCCACCTTCTTCCTCACACAGAACTGAAAACCTCCCTCATTGGCAAGAAGAAGCCAGCAGCAGCTAAGAAAGGGGTAGGTGGGGAGAGGCAGTATGGCAGAGTGGTTAGGAGCTGGAGTCAGACGCCTGGGTTCCCCCTTTGCCCTGACCACTTACTGGCTGTATGACTGGAAAGGTGCTTAGCTTCTCTGCACCTGATCTGTGAGGGGCTGTCAAGATGCTTGTCTCTAAGGGGCTCCTGGGAGGAGTCAGTGAGATTGTGCACGTAAGTGCTTGGCACATCCCGGGCCTGGTAGCGTTAGCCGTTGTCCTCCGGCCCCCAGGCCTCTGCTAGGGTTGTGTGGGCCACATTATGCTCAGCTCCAGCAGAACCACTGTTCTCCCTCTCCACCATGCTGACGGGGCTCCTATTTTTTTTACACTAAACTTTAAGAAGGAACCCTTTCCTTGTGGGTGTTTCCATGCCGGGGAGGGGATAGAAGGCATTGTGTTTGGCAAAGCTCTCATCACATAATTCTCCCAGCTGGGTACCAAGAAAGGCCTAGGGGCCCAGAAGGTGAGCAGCCAGAGTTTCAGTGAGATTGAGCGGCAGGCCCAGGTGGCAGAGAAGCTCCGTGAGCAGCAGGTGGCTGATGCCAAGAAGCAGGCCGAGGAGTCCATGTGAGTGTTTGCCAGAGGGGCCCCAGCTTGTATGGGGTTGGGTGGGCAGGTAGGACAGGTCAGGATGGTGCCGGCCTCTGACACGTTTGTTCCCTCTAAGGGTTGCCTCCATGCGTCTGGCCTACCAGGAGCTTCAGATTGACCGTAAGAAGGAGGAGAAGAAGCTGCAGAATCTGGAAGGGAAGAAGAGAGAGCAGGCAGAGAGGTTGGGCATGGGACTGGTGTCCCGAAGGTGAGGCTCAGCTTTGGGGTGCGGCGGGGAGATGCCATTGTTCCCCTGGGAACCATTGAAGGTTCTTCCCAGCAATTTGGGGTTCTAGGCTTAGTCTTCCTCCAAGGCTGAATAGATGACTTTGCTTATTGTCTTCAAGCCCCTAGTATAGTGCTTGGCACATAGTAGGTACATGCTTGCTAAGTATTTGTTGAACGAATGAAACACAGGATCAGGTGCTCTTTTGATATGTCCAAGAGGCCAGGATGGTATTTCTTCTTCTTTTTCTTTCCTTTTTTTTTTGATATTTATTTATTTGGCCGCACCGGGTCTCAGTTGCGGCATGCAGGATCTTTAGTTGTGGCATGCGGGCTCTAAGTTGCGGCATGCGGGATCTAGTTTCCTGACCAGGGATTAAACCTGGGCCCCCTGCATTGAGAGCACGGAGTCTTAACCACTGGACCACCAGGGAAGTCCCTAGGGTGATGTTTCTCAAAAAGGGTGCTAACGGCACTTTGAATGGCAGGACAGTTTTCTCAAGAGCTTCCCAAGAATCGCAGGGCTTTCAGCATTCCTAATACCTGTCCACTAAATGCCATTAGTGTTACCAGATACCGTAACACCCAGAAATAACCCCAGATATTCAAATGCCCTTTGGTTGGGTGGTACCCTTCCTGTTTCAGGACCACTGGGTTTATGTTGCTGTGGTTTTCTTAAAAAAAAAAAAAAAAAAAAAAAAAAAAAAAAAGGGCAAGGGCTGCTAACCAGTTCTCTTATGCATTTTGTTTGCTTCACAATAAGAGTTAACATCTAGAGATTTCAGTAATACTAGATTTTTTATCTCTCTTAAAAATTGGAATATCTGGCAGCGCCAGGGTGAGTAATCCTGGCTACAGTGAGCTTGTGCTAAGTGGTGTCTGCTCCTTTCCAGGGGGCGTGAGCTTTGCCAATGGCCTTATTTACTTAAACACAGCAGTGTTATACAGGAGGTATTGTTTTCCCTTTTTACAAATGAGAAAATTGAGACTCAGAGCAATTAAGCAATTTGCCTAAAGCCCAAAAATCTAGTAATTCTTACAACTAGATTTTGAACATAGAACTGTTTGATTTCATATTTAGTATTTGTAGCCATTATGCTCTACTTCTCTGGAAGAAGATACAGCTGGGTATTTCTACTTAATCTTGCAGGACGTGGCCAGTTGGATTTAAGTTATTCCCTTTTAGTCTGTGTGCTACTAGTGTAACCCACAGCTAATCAGGGAGACAAAATTTTATCCCAAAAGGACTTTCCTCTTCCCTGTTTTGGTCACAGGAATGACTGGATTAAAGGGTATATTTAAAACTTTTTTTTCCTTTTTTGTACTGCAGTAGAATCATTTAAAGCCAGCCCACCTTATATGAAACCCTGTTGCAAACTAGTCACTCCTTGGAGTTCTGCCAACCAAAAGCGGTAGATATTTTTCAATGAATTTATTTAAATGAAATTAATCCTTAAAAGCCTCTGTGGAGCTTAACACAGGAGGGAAGAGAGGCATCACGAGTTGGTACTGGCGCCAAATTCAATGCCTCTTCTCATTGGGAAACCAAATAGCAGATCCAGGTTTTAGTGTGTAAGGCCAGACTCTCTACTTTGAAATGCTTTCTTCTTTAAAAAACAAAAATGGATGGGATAATTAAGAACTCATCCTTTGATGCCATTAGACTCACTTCCCTGATTCTGGGGCATTTCATCTTTTTTGTTTTATGTGTCTATCTTGGTGAAGGATGTGGCTCATGGTGCAGCAAGTTGAGGACAGAAAGCACTATTATTTGGTGCACATTATCCTTAAAATTAAAACAGGCCAAACAGTCATTTGTCAGGGAAACCCTACTTTGAGAAAACAAAGCTGATGTATTGACAGGTGGGGAGTGCTCTCCAGTTTAGCACAGTTGCTAGCACTCCCTGCTGGGTCTTGCCCAGCCCTGGGCACAGGCAGGGGAAGAAGGTTCTGGGTGGTGCTCAGTGAAGGAGAACCCAGGTTTCTGCCAGCAGCTGGGCATCTTCTCTTCTCTCTCTCTTTTTTCTTTTTTAATAAATTTATTTATTTGTTTTTGGCTGCGTTGTGTCTTCGTTGCTGCACTCGTGCTTTCTGTAGTTGCAGCGAGCAGGGGCTGCTCTTCGTTGTGGTGTGGGCTTCTCATTGGTGGCTTCTCTTGTTGCGGAGCATGGGCTCTAGTCACACGGGCTTCGGTAGTTGTGGCTCGCGGGCTCTAGAGCGCAGGCTCAGTAGTTGTGGTGCATGGGCTTAGTCGTTCCATGGCATGTGGGATCTTCCCGGACCAGGGCTTGAACCTGTGTCCCCTGCCTTGGCAGGCAGATTCTTAACCACTGTGCCACCAGGGAAGCCCTGGGCATCTTCTCTTGTGCAGTGACACTGATGCTCACACCTGCTTTTCTCCACAGTTCCGTCTCCCACTCGGTGCTGTCTGAGATGCAGGTGATCGAGCAGGAAACCCCAGTGAGTGCAAAATCCTCCCGCTCACAGCTGGACTTGTTTGACGATGTTGGTACTTTCGCCTCTGGACCCCCAAAGTAAGGCTGTTGTTGGGGTGCAGACTGGGCTACCGTGTTCCTCATCAAGCTTCTCTGAGCCACTGTACTGTCTCCCCAGGTACAAGGACAACCCCTTTTCCTTGGGGGAGAGTTTTGGTTCCCGCTGGGATACAGATGCTGCCTGGGGTATGGACGGGATGGAGGAGAAGGAGCCAGAAGTGACTGTCTCAAGCGTCCGGCCCATTTCAGAAAGGTGGAGTGCTCTAGGGCAGCGCTGTCCAGTAGGATGCTCTGTGATGCTGGCAGTGCTACTGTGTGGTGTGGTAGCCACCAAGTATGTGGCTAGCGAGTCCTTAAAAAGTGTCTAGGGTTAATTGAGGAACTGAGTTTTTAATTTAATTTGAATAAATTTGAATAGCCACATGTGGCTAGTGGCTACCAGATTAGAGAGTGCAGGAATCAGGCTTTGGTTTGAGCTGTGCTCTGCCATTGCAGGAGGCCTCGTAGCCTCTTGTGCTTGAGGTCCATTTCTCTGGCAGGAGGAGCCTGATTTTATGCTTCAGTTCTGACCTCCCAAGGACTATGTGTCTCTGGCCTTCATCTAGTAATTTTTTAAAAGCATGTTCCATGTTAATCGGGGTAGTCCTTAACTGATAAATTATCTGCAAATAATCCATTTGTAAAATGGGGACAGAACTAATGACTTCAGAGCTGCCATAGGGATTAAATGTAATGAAACTTATAAAACACCTAGCTCAGTGTCTGTGTCAGTGCTAGGTGGGAGTGACCGTACACCTTTTCAGCTTCACTGGAATGCTTTTGAGAGTAAAAGGGGGGTAATACTATTGATTACGTCAGGAGAGTAGGTATAAATCCAGGCAGACTGAGACATTTTATCATTCTCGTGGTTTGGGGCGGAAGCGTTGGCCCCTCCAAACCCTATTTCCATGCTACCTACTGGAGGGAACATAAGCTCTCTGTGCCTTGGCTTCATTATGGAGAAGAGAGGGCCCCTGGGTCCCAGAGCCATAGTCAGATGGGGCCATGGTGAGCATCCCCAGAAGGCCAATGGTGCTTTTTTTGGCCTCCGGTAGGAATGGGATAGTAATGCTATAGTGATGCTATTGCCTGGTAGCAATGGGAAGAGTCAGAGCTGTTGTCCCACATCCACCCCTCAGAGTCACAAACCGGAGGGAAGTGGAAAGCCGCAGCTCAGGCCTTGAGTCGAGTGAAGCACGACAGAAATTTGCGGGAGCCAAAGCCATTTCATCTGACATGTTCTTTGGGCGGGAGGTGGATACTGAGGTAAGTAGAGTTGTCTGCTTACCTGAGCCTGGAGGCAGCAGGTGGAAGCAGAGTTTCTTCCCTTCTGTTTTGGGCTTTGGCACCAGGGTGGCTGGGCCTGGATGAGTTCTTGGGTCATCGGCCCAGAGGCCCCGAGGCCTTGCCTTTTCTTCACCGCAGCATGAAGCCAGGTCCCGGCTACAGCGGCTCTCAGGCAGCAGCGCCATCAGCTCTTCGGACCTCTTTGGGGACATGGATGGCACTCATGGAGCAGGTAGGCCCCAAGCGAGGCCTGCGAACAGAGCTGGGGCCCCCTTGACTGGGAAGGGCTTCATCCTGGGCTCTGGGTCATTCTTTCCCTTGCTTTGACAGGTAGTGTGTCTCTGGGGAACGTGCTGCCCACAGCTGACATTGCCCAGTTTAAGCAGGGTGTCAAGTCTGTGGCCGGGAAGATGGCCGTGCTGGCCAATGGTGTGATGAATTCTTTGCAGGTGAGGCTGGGACTGCTTGACCTGGGGTGGGAGGAGACCAAAGGGTAACGCTTGGAAGTTGGCCTTCTCCACCAGATCCAGACATAGCTGCACGGTAGCCCTCAGCCCGAGAGAGCATTTTCTTTTCCTGAAGGACAGCTTCCTTCCTTTGAGCTTGGTACCAGGGCTGGGCCTCTCCCTAAGACGATGCCATGTCTGCAGTGATTTTCCCCCCACTCTTGTCATCTGTACTGTTTCTCCTCCCTCTCCAGCTTCTGTGAGATCAGGCAGGGCTTCCCCCTTGGGATCTGGCCACAACCCCTTTCCTGGGTCACAGTAAAATAGAAAACAGTCTCTGCCAGGGTGAGATTGGTGCCTGATTCCCCCGCCTGCCAGTACTCCAGTCCCGAGAGGTGTGTTGGGGGAGGGTGTGCATGCTGGAAAGCTGATGCAGGTTAGAGACCCTGACTTTGTTTTTTCTTTCCCCATCCCCAGGATCGCTATGGTTCCTACTGATCCAGGCTCCATGGCTCAGACATATGGTGTTGACAGCAGCAAAAACCTCATGATTCCTAGGCCTGGGATGCTTGCCTTGTGGAAGCTGGGGAGGAATTGTTATTTTATACCTGTGGTGTGTGAGTGGGTGGCCTTTGAGGATCTCAGGTGAGGGATGGGCAGTATTAGCCCCTGACCTCTGCCTGGAGATTGAGCCCTTTATTCTCTTCTTCTCACACCCCCACCCCTGTGTGCTAGATTATTGTTAATCCAGTCCTGCCCCCAAAGTTGCTGCTCACTTGTCCTGCCACACTGGGAGTGGAGGGGGGGGGGGTCCCTC